TTGTAGAAATTTCTTCACTCTTGAATTCCACTAATTTCCATTAATAATCATTAGATTAGTAGATTAAACTTTGTTAAGACCTTCTTTCATTGGAATGTTTATTAACCTAATTCTGCCATTCTCACTAGGGGGCTGTTAACTCAACAATATTTGTTCTTTTGTGTTTGTATTTCTGTTTATTCTTTTCCCCTCTAAAGTTAATCACTGGGGACTTTGTTTTTCCTGCTGTAAAATGAGTGCCTGCATCACATAAGCCTAATATTAAGAAAACACATCTCAGCACCTATAATAAAAGTGACCTAATTGCAGAAAGAGACAATGAACTAGTTAAAAAGGGTTTCTTTCTTTCTTTTGACATATAAGCTATACAATAATTACTAAAAAGTACAATTCAGTCACATTTCTTCACTGAAGATCAAGTCTATTGGAGTGTTGGTATTACTGAAACCAAAGCACTTACTATTTAGTAACATCAAATTCTCTGATGAATAAGCTTCTGTTGAATGTTTACATTTTTTAAACAAGAACAGTGTTTCAGATTTCTTATGTACCTATTTATATTCATCATGTGAAACTGGAAACCATATGTATTACATTACATTATAATGAATCATTGCCACTAGGCCAACAGGAAGGAACAAAAAAAAAAAAAAAGCCAAGGAACAATGCAATTTTTTCAGAGTTAACTGAACGCTAGACATTTTTCAATATAGCACCGTTTTCTTTCTATGGAATAGACAAGAATGCCAACACGTATAGGTATGTGTATACTATATACGTATAATAGAATGCCAACATTTATAGGTATATGTATACTATATATGTATAATATATAGCATATAATTATATACATACAGGCATTCATATGTAGATGTACACATAGGAATAAACACATATGATCAAATCCCGAAGCAAATACATTGTTCTCATTTCTCTCAGTAAAAAAACAAAAACAAAAACAAAAAACAAAAAAAAAATCTGTATCTTAAAGTTGAATTTAAAAACCATTATAGGGGCGCCTGGGTGGCTCAGTTGGTTAAGCGTCCGGCTTCGGCTCAGGTCATGATCTCACAGTCCGTGAGTTCGAGCCCCGTGTCGGGCTCTGTGCTGACAGCTCAGAGCCTGGGACCTGCTTCAGATTCTGTGTCTCCCACTCTCTCTCTGCCCCTCTCCTGCTCGTGTTCTGCCTCTCTCTGTCTCAAAAATAAATAAAAACATTAAAAAAAATTAAAAACAAACCATTATAAAAAATCATCTTTACACACTATAATCTACATCTAATATGTGGTTCTTTGAATGTCTATTTCCGCATGTAGTGTGATTTTTCTTACAAAAGTTCAATTTTCTTCCAAGTTTAACAACTCACAAAGGTGATCACATATATTTCCTACGTAAAATTTCTTTTCCTGAGAGAAATCTTCTCAGAACGAACGACAAACTAAGAAGCAATAAACAAATTGATTTAAAAATCAACAACCCTTAAAATGAACTCTTAAAAATGAGACTCTTTTTAATCTTGGTAAATTACCACATTGTAACTGATCCTTTCGCATAGTGCTTATTAATGCAGAAGTGTGTGACAGAGTAATCATTTTCAGTCCTGCAAGTTATTTGCAATAAGATTAGATTCTGTTTTCATTTCTATGTTGATTTTTTTTCCAGTTAAACATTTTCCTTATCCTTATCTCCACATCTCCTCTAATTCTGGTAGCATCTGTAGATCCCTAACACTTGGCATGTGCTACTTCAGGCAAACATATCGCATGTACAATCTATATAAAGGAAGGGACCTCTCAACCTCCCTCCCTGTCTTATGTGATTTCAAAAACAAACTCAGCGTTCAGTGGTATGCATTTATGGCCACTAACATTTTTTTTTAATTTTCAGAGAAATCAAATTTTGAGTTGGTTATACTTAAGCTACAGAATTATGGAGTTTTAGGCAACAGCCCTTCGAGATTAAGTGACTTGCTCAACATCACATAGTTTAGCAAACAGAAGGCTTGCACCAGATTTCGAGTCCCTTTCCCAGGTGGGTAATCCCCAGTGTGTGTGCTGTAAGATAAATACAAATAACGTGTTGGGATCTTTATTGAAGAGAAAATGAGAATCAGCACTCTAAAATACCATTCAGTGCCATAGGATCCCAGGCTATTCTAGCCCTGTTCCAAACAAATAGAAATTCATAGATTTTATAAGTAAAGCCAAATTTTCAAATAAGGGGATAAAGCAAATGCAGCAGCATAGGAAATATGTGTGCTAAAAAAAGAATATGCCTCTTCTTATCTCAGCAATACTTCATATACATTTTCTTAACTTGAGAAGTCAAGCTAAATTTGATTAAGCACATTTTTACATATCACATGAGCCCACCACTAGTAGAGAAGAGAGTGGAAACCGAAAGAAATGCCACAGATTTCATGGTGTGATTCAGTTTCTTTCCAAATGACACTTCCTTTGAAAAGGCATATATTTGGAATTTGCCTTTTGGAAAATGCTTCTTTTCAATTTTCAAATATAATTCTGGTGTAATTAATCTAATCTGCATTTCAAAGCTTCTTGAGCTGCACTTTCTCCCAAGCACGTGATCTCTGTTTATGGACCAGAATAAAGAACAGTGTATTGAACACAGCCCAGAATGGTCAACATGGTGATAGCCATGACAGAGCTTCCGTACGTCATCAAAGGCATAGTCTTTCCAAGACGCCTTATCAGACACCTGTTTATCCTTGTTCTGTCCACGTTCAAGTGCCCAACAGACATTTTGCTGCTGCTACAACTCCTGCAAAGTAAACAGAACAGGTGCCCAGAAAAAGCATCAGATGAGAAAACAGATGAGATAGAAAATAAAGTCATACCCCTTTATGGAAGGTGGGCCTGAGGATGAGGTCTACTTAAAACACTTATATCCGAGGCAGCTATACGAGGAACAAACAGCTAATTGCTAACTTAAGAAATGTTAAATTCTGGACTGTATGAATCAAAAGCGAAGTGTTTATCTTGACTTGACACTGGACAAGGCACTGGGGAAGAAGAAAGATGTGGAGCCATTGGCCAGTGGTCTTGGTTCTCCACATACTCATTTGTTTCAGAAATCAATAAAGTTGCCGTGTTTACAGGAAATGCATCAGAGATTAAAATAGCAGAAGAAAATGGAGCTGCTGTTTGAGGAGGAACCAATCTGATGCAGAAGATTTTGCGTGATGAAATTCAATCAGACTTTTAGGTAGCTGTGCCAGAAATAATGCCCAAGCTCAAGCCATTAAAGAAGAAACTGAGGGGCGGAGGGGAGGAGAAAAGACTTACAAAGCTTACTTGGAATTCCATTGCCTGTGACGTCCCAAAAGTTCTTGAATTATTTAAATCTGGACACGAAATTAAGGTAGATGAAGAAAGGGAGACGTTTTTGAGACCAAAATAGCTACACTAGATGTCAAGTGACCAGATAGCTGCTGATCTACAAGTAGTTGTTCTGTTACCAGTGTAGGCACTGGACGGCTGAATCAGGGACCCTTTGTGGCATGTGCTTTCCCTGAAGTTTGTTACTAAGGAATGAGCCATTGTTGCCGAAAGTAGCAGGAGCCCAAAAAAGCAACAATGAAACTGCCTAGAAGTGTTGTACTGTGAAATTTTCAGTCAGTGGATTAAGAAGCAACAGAAAAACTTATAAAACTGTTAATTTAGTGTCTTGTTATTTCTTTTCTTTCTTCCTTTCTTTTTTTCTTTTCTTTACTTTTCTTTTTCTTTTCTTTTTTCTTTCTTTCTTTCTTTCTTTCTTTCTTTCTTTCTTTCTTTCTTTCTTT